CTATCTAAGATTTATCTGCATCTTCTTGCTTTAGAATTTGTAAGCATTGGAGTTGTCTTGAAGGATCTCAATGCTCTTGTAATTGAGAAAAAGAGTGGCATCGTGTCCTTTTCATCTTGTGGATACCGTCTTTCTCCTTCACTCACTGTTATGGATGCAAAGAGCAACCATTAATGCAATAAGTCTTCTTTTTAATCTGCTGACTCATAATCCGATAAAAGATCAAATTCCCTCATCTTGATCTTGAGGACACAATGGTTTTATAGATTCAATTCAATTAACTCGTTGGTTACAAAGACTAATCTCTACTTCTCTCTTGCTCCCGATGAAGCTTGAAATCACCATATGGCACTTCAATAATAAAAGGCTTCATCACTTGTTATATATTATGAATTGTGTTATTGTGTGATATGGTTGATCCATTGCAGAATTCCAAGACCAAGCACATCAACATTCTTCATCATTTCATCACAAACATAGTTCAAAAGGGAAAAGTGGAATTGTTATATATTCCATCCACTGGTTAACTAGCTGACATCTTCACCGAGGCATTGGATGAAAAGACTTTGAATAAATTAATTGCAGATCTTGGCATGCGTTCTATGGCTTAATCGTTAATTAACTATTTTCAATCTTATCAAAAAAACTCAAAAGCAAACAAGTACATATTTATTATGAATGCAAAATCTTACATTTAGTATTTACATGTGTTTTCTTTCAAGCCTATCTATGATTTATCTGCATCTTATTGCTTCAGAATTTTTAAGGACTGGAGCTGTCTTGAAGTGTCTCAATGCTCTTGGAATTTAGAAAAATAGTGGCATCCTATCCTTTTCCTCTTGAGGATACCCTCTTTCTCCTTCACTCACTGTTATGGATGAAAAGAGCAACCATCAATGCAGTAAGTCTTGTCTTCATCTACTGACTCATAATCCGATAAAACCTCAAATGCCCTCGTGTTGATCTTAAGGACACAATGGTTTTATGGATTCAAGTCAACTAACTCTTTGTTTACAAAGACTAATCACTACTTCTCTCTTGTTCCTAATGACGCTTCAAATCACCATGTGAAGCTTCAATAATAGAAGGCTTGATCACTTGTTATATATTGTGAATTGTGTTATTGTGTGATATGGTTGATCATTTTTGTTCTCTTTTATAGCTAAAATTTCAAGGGTAGATATCTCGAAACATTGGAAGTGTATTAATGACCATCCAATTCCAAAGATTTGATGAAATGAGCCATTCTCACCTTTCTAAAAAAGGGTGAGATATTTCCCTGTTTCAACTATTTTCTTGTTTTCTTATCTTGTACCATTTATATAAAAATGAATCTAATGGTGACAATTTTGAGACTAGTATGCAACTTTCTCATCAGTAGGACCATCTAATGAGAACATTGAGTCACCCTATCATGCTGACTGTTTAGCACTGTCTAAATTCTCAAAGTGAGATCTCCTGGTCCAAATAACAAAAATGATAAAAAGGATAGGGTGTTTATTTTAATTTAATCATATCTACCTGACTCTGTCCACGGAAGTATGTTTGTCATATTCATTAAGTCTCATGTTATGCACAAACGTTGAGCATAACCATATGGTTTACGCTGATGGCATAGTCATCAACGTAAGAGATACTTGTCAGGTCCTTAAGTGAAAAAGGGTTGTTCATGTTCCTGACTTCCTTGTTTGAGGTATTGTAACAACGTGAAATTTCAAACCAAATTTTTTTCAATTTAAAAACATATTTGTCTCAATAAATCCAAAATGTCATAATGTCAAATCATCAAATCACATATCAAAAACTGTTCATATTTCAAAACTCTAGGATCCTCTAAATCACAACTCGATCGCTTATGTGTGTACAATCAGGCCGGTTCCTTCCCATGATCCGTAGAAGTACCTGAAACACATAACACATAATACGGTAAACATAAAGCTTAGTAAGTTCCCCAAAATACCACACATATCACATTAGCCACTCGAGGCTAACTCAATACCACCCTCTGGTCAATGTGTTCTAATGGAGACCCTCTGGTCCCACTACTCGGGAGGACCCTCCAGCCCTAACTCAATAAGTTCACAATGATAAGCATAAATCACAAGAACAACATGCAAACTAGCACAATAACACAAATAAGCACATAAGGCATCTCAGTCACACAAGGATACCACTCATGGTAAGTATAGTGATAAGACTCACCTCGTAAGCTAGTAAGTACAATTCTCGTGCTCGGAAATCTCGAACTAGCCTCCGCCTAATACATTGGATAACCATCTCTAATTAATACTCTATTCGTACTCAATCACACCAAGGTTGTTCTCTCTTTCTCTCAAAGTCTTGGAATGGTTAAAAGACCACTTTACCCCTCCATGGCCCCATTACTCATGTTGGCCAACCCTAAGGTCAACAGAAGTCAACTCGAGTCAACAGTCCAAGTTTGACCTAACTCGCCGAGTGCACTCATGTGACTCGTTGAGTCCAGTCGTCCCTTGGAATCTTCGTGAAGGTTCAGCTCGTCGAGTTAACCCCTAAATCGCCGATTTATAGCATAGCCAGTTCATTGGGACAAACCCTAACCGACTCATCGAGTCGACTCCTCGACTCGGTGAGTCCATTCAGACTTTTTTCTCATTCAGACGGTTTCAAGGCAGAAAACCTTCCCAAACTCTAAATCTACGCTCTTAAGGCTCGTTTATCACGTAAAGTCACAAGCTTTACGTCCATGCATGACACTTAGGGATTGAAATGCCAAAAACATACCTTAATAAGGGGTTTTCACTCAAGAACATTATTATGGCTGAATAAATCAGGGGCTTTTGGACTTTGGGGACCTCACATGGTCCAGATCTGAAGTCCAAACCTCTATATGAACTCAAAACACTCAAGGTTCTCATATTAGATGGATAAAAGTCCTAAACTCCCAAAATCATGAGATCTACTTAACAAAATAAGAAAGGTGCAAGCTTTACCTTTCCCAGCAGCTCTAAAGTGAAATAACCACGGATCTAACAGCTCCTTCTCGTCCATTGGCTTGGAATCCTTCCCTTCTCTTCAAAAGATGCACCAAACACTCAAAGTTAGCTAAAAACTCTCTCTCTAAGCTTAATGGCCGATTAGGGTTTACTCTCAGTGAAGGTGAGCCACAAATGAGGCTACAAGTGCCCTTAAATAGGCCCCAAACACAGGGATTTATGGTTTCTCTTCACAGCGTCTACTTGACGAGTCGGCTTTTCGGAATCGTCGAGTAGATCATTAATCCACATGGCATATCACGACCCTACTCGACGAGTTGTAGCACCAACTCGTCGAGTCTCTTAATAGTCCTTCCCAAATACTTAAATAAATAATATATGTCGAAGTCTGGATGTTACAGGCATGACATGGTACCATTATGAATTAATGGTGAATCTTTGATATTGGAACTTACTCTATGACACATAAGTTTAAACCACCTTTTGTTGATGACTTAAAATGTTAATGATTCATGTTGATTTCACCTACGTGTGACTAAAACAATCCATTCCCTCCTTCATCTTCTTAATAGAACTTGATGATTCATTGTGTAAAACCACATACTGATAAAAGTTCGAAAGTCTGTGCCGATGGGTATATCATTATCCGTGATGTATTACATGCACCTATCCACTCTTGTCATTTTTTCTTCTAATAAAAGTGATTTATGATTCAGCGTATAACACCACATTGATGATCTCAAAATACTATGTCAGTGAATGGTAGCTTAATCCCACACTGTCAGGAGACATCACAATCTTACTAGCCTACAAGTTGAAACTCTATTCTATTTGAAGTTAGCTGTTGATGTCAAAAGGGGGAGAGAATAATGGTAAAACTGAATCTTGCTGAAGAAATCTTGCTACTAGAACTACAGAAAAGCACATTCTAATGGGGAGTCGAGTCAAGATGATGTCAACTTTCTCAGCTCAGCTCAAGCTCATTATCTATTTGTCCATCGTCTGATGTAATTCATATGTGTTTGATGAGTCATTTATCTTCGTAGGGGGAGCATTTGTTAAAACTACAAGAATCAAGATATCATTATTATTCTCAGGGGGAGGACAAGCCAAAAGTCTTCTGCATTCCGCTTATATATCAGAAGTGGTTTAGTTTTGACATCATCAGATAAAGGGATATTGTAAGGTAACACCTTATGATCTGATGAGTCAAACACATGACACACTAATCTATTAGCGTCAACATCTGCACATTGTTAGCGCCAACATATATAGTTTATCAGCGTTAACTTAAAAGTATAGTTATTCGATTGTAAGTCTATGAATATTAGTTAATGATATAGATAATTATAGAATAGATCATGGATCCGATATCTTTATGATAAGATCGGTTCTTAATATAGATTAGATACAATCTTGTCAATCATGGGATATATATATATATATATATATATATATATATATATATATATATATATATATATATATATATATATATATATATATATATATATATATATATACACACACACAACATTAGGGAAAACTCAAATGTTGCGGTGCTTTTGGTCGTGATAGTTTTTTTATTGTGGCTTTGTTCAATCGTCTTTATGATAAACTCGTCTTCTTGGTGAAGACAAAATCTCTCTTCTTTGTGAAATGAACAATTTGAATAACTTATCTATTAATTATTTACTTTATGTTGATTATTTTGCTTAGATTAGTTTTATGTTTCTTATTCATACTTGGAGTGTATCCAATAATCACAAACCTTCAAGAAACACCGCCAGGAACCAAATATTCGGAGGGAACTTATTGTTTGATAATGTGATTCTAATGCAAACGCACTAGTAAATGATTGTTAATGCAGTTTTATAGAAACTACATCAACAAATATATTTGATGGTGCGATTTCATAATTTATTAATGCGAAATTAAACAATTTAATGATGCCGTTTAATGCTATCACTGCATTAATAATAAAAAAAAAAAAAAAAAAAAAAAAAAAAAAAAAAAAAAAACTATGGCACTATTAAATAGGTTTTGTACTAGTGTGTATATATTTTTCATAAGTCCCTTCGATCTCATTAATCGAAACAATTTAAACTATTAATACATGGATAAGGCCAACAAAAAATACATGGGCTGGATAATACAAAAGAATAATACATTGGAAGTGTTCTAGACTATAGATGAAGGGTGTCCAAATATATAAAAACTACAATATTACACAGATTCTTTTGCAACATAAATTAATTAAACACAACACCATCTTTAATTATATGGAGATCAAGAATGTATGTCATTTGCTGCTCTCTCATTAAGTATATTCACACCAATGTATCGACCTAACATCATAAGTGTAGCCTGTGGATTTGTTCCCGGTGAGTTGAAGAACGTTGAAGCATCAACCACTCGTAAAGAATCAACTCCGATAACTTTCAAATGACTATCAACCACCTTGTTAACCAAGCATCCACCATGGATATGCCAAAACGTAGACAATGATTCACGACAGAAAGTCGCAATGGAGTCCATATCAGTTGGATCTTCAGGTAATGATGGCCCAAGATATTTGAAATCCTTTCCACCAAAGATGTCACTAAACTTGTATTCTTCCATCGTCCGAGTTTGCAAAAAATTCCGAAGTACTTCAACTGCGTTACCACATTGTAGTATATCTTCGGTGTGAGAGTAGTAATTAAAACGAACACTTGGGCTAACGTCCACATCAAATGGTGATATTAGATGTAGTGAGCCAGTTGACAACGGTCTTGTAACCTTTCCACCAATAATCACTATACTTAAGTTAATTAAAGGTGGAAGTGAACCCAAGAATGGTATAAAGTTTATCGAAGTTGTAAGTCGAGGGACTACAGAAGACTCGATATATGGGCCACTTTTTGATATCCCAACCACCCTTACTCCTACATCAGGTAATACGACTGGGACCAAAAGATTAACTCCTGTGCGTGGATTATCAGCCATAAACTGCCCCACAAACGGATGATCGCTAACAACTGGAATATTCAAAGACGAAAGATATGAAACTGGCCCAAGACCACTTACTAGCAAAAGTTGTGGACTTCCGAGAGCTCCAGCACTCAAAATCACTTCTCCGTTTTTTCTTACATGGACTTCATGATTCGTCCCCTTTGAATCATGGTATGTCACGCCAGTAGCCGCTATTCATCATTAAAGCAAAGCAAATATTTACTTAGTTTTACTAGATCAGTAATATATAAGACGAACACGTGAAAATTTTGTTACCTAAAGATTTAGAGGTGGAGAAGATGATCCGATCAACTGTTGCATGGACTACCACTTTTAAGTTTTCAGGGTTTGCTTTATTGAGGAGCTCAACTGCTCCATGTCGTCTTCCAGAATCATCAAATGTCGAACCACTAATCTTGGTGCCTTGAAGGTGGTCGAGGGTGAACCCGTTTGCAGGATCAACTCCTGATTCTAGTAACGCATTCAACGTGGAAGCTTGCCACCTACCTAATTGATTTGGACGAGTTACGATACTATCTTCTACCCACTCATAGGCTCTTTCGACAGCACTGGTGTCCCATTCTATACCTGAATTTTTGTAGAAAAAGTCATCGGCTCTCGAGTAGAATCCAAAATTTATCATACTAGTACCTCCCAATACTCTCCCTCTTGTATTTAGTACACCATCTTCGGAGATGAAGTTTTGAGCAGGTGAATCTTTGTTATTTGCAGTTAGTAGGGTTGTTAAGGAGTTATTTTCGTATAAAATATTCGGATCTAAATTGGCTACACCACCTCGCTCAAGAAGAAGTACCGAATACTTTTCAGATAAAGTGGCAGCTAACGGGCAACCTGCTGTCCCTCCTCCAACAATGATGTAATCGTATTCTTGTTCTGGAGAGAAATCTGTGGCTTCGTATGTCAACCCAAGGTAGGTTTCATCTGCACACGCATGAATCACAATACTTTATCATAAGTCATTAAGTAAGTATGCATAATTTTCGATCCATTTCCGGATCCTGACTCTGTGTGTGTGTGTGTGTGAGAGAGAGAGAGAGAGAGAGAGAGAGAGAGAGAGAGAGAGAGAGAGAGAGAGAGAGAGAGAGAGACTTGCCTGGAGGAGATTCTGGGTGTAAAAAGCATCCTACTAACTGTAATCCAATGCAGAATACGAGAAAAGCGAGTGCCGCATCTTGCATTGCTTGAGTGTTCGTTATTATCATATTTTTTAGGAGAAAAAAAGAGAAATTAAGATAGCCAGAAACAGAGAAGAGAGGGTAATTGGACCAGATATATGGGTAGATTAGCCAAGAAGTCTGCAAAAGAGATTGCCACTTGCAAATTGCCATTAATATGATAATGAAACATAAGCCATCCCAACCATACAAAAAGTACAATTTCTAATATCTTTTTTCATATATAAACTTATATATATGTTGTCCAAAAACGACTTCTAACTTTTATGAATATACTTTTTTATAAAAACTTTATAAAAACTATCATAAAACTCTAACTAAAATAATTATTTGTATATTATTAATTTGAATTTTTATTTCTATATTTATATTTTTTTAAAAACTTAAAAAAATAATATAAAATTATAACTAAATTAATTACTTATATATTATTAATTCAAATTATATGCTATTTCACATTTGTTAAATAGAAAAACTATATTTAAAACAAATTTTTATATTATAAATAATTTAATGTCAATTTTACACAACATAAGATTAAAATGAATGATTATTATTCTATTTAAAACATGTTGATTCTTAAAAAAGGTTCGTGCTCGAAAAAATGCAACGTATAATTCCTTTAGAATAAGAAAAACAAACCACAATAATTTCGTATCTAAAATAACCGTTATATATGATTCTTGTTAAAAATAATATATTGTAATTAACTGGATAATGAAAGAAAATGGTTGTTTAGTAATGGTGTATATGGGTTGTTTCAATAAGCAATTAACGACCTGAAAACTTCTAAATTTAACGGAAAGAAGTAAACATAGTTAAGCAAGAGCGACCTTTGAGTCAAACACAACACGTGACGAGTAAAGACCTCTAAAAAGACATATTCCAGGGAAAGCGTAAGCGTACAGATTCTTATAATAAACAAATATTAAGCAGTACAAGCCAAATAATAGTCTTTACACGGATCACACATTAAACCGGGTAACACCCTAAACAAATACACTTTTAGACGCCTATAAAAGTCGAGCATCGCCAAAGGAAAGAGGTAGAATTTTCTCACATTAAACAATTTTACAACATTCCTATTCGACATCTAACTTTGACATCAGAGAGCAATATATCGGTCATTACCTGAGTATGACGTTCTAACCTTGCATTTGTCTACTTTTGCACATGCTTTCCTGTTTGTACATTAGAAGAGGACATTCTCAACTAGCTATTAGGCATCCGAAAGCCTACATAGCAACATTAGCACCATCTGTATTCTCATACTAAGAAAAGCGTTCACAAAAGCAATATGTAACCTTTACGAGCAATACAAAACTCAATAAAGTAACCAAACATGAACAAAACCATCAAAAAAACCATCTACTGGAAGGGACAACGGACAAAAGGAAACCATCTCAGAAGTACAATCTAACAAAAACCACCAAAATGACAGAACATAAAAAACCAAGCCAAAACATGCAATGAGGAAAACAGCATAACAACCTTAGAAAAAATATTCACCAAACTACAAAATCGTGAACGACCAATAAGGGGAGATGAACTAATCCTAATATATGGACACATTCAAGATGTATGTATTCACTGGATATATTGTGACAAAGGTAGCTCAATGGAAATAATGTATGAACATTATTTTTTTCAAACTAATAGAGGCCATGAGAAAGAAAAAGATAAAACTTGAGTTATACTTAACAAGTTTCATTAGACACTCAGTATGGCCTCTAGGAGTTATATCATTTTAATTGACATTACGGGAACATCAAGCATGGCCAAAAATATGCAAATGATAGGTTTTACAATCATACAATCTCCATCAACATACAACATTATCTTTAGAAGAAGCACTACAAAAAAATTCAAAGCAATCATGTCCACGGTACATGGTCTAACCAGTTTCAAGACCTCGGGATGATACATAACTACTTATAGTGAACCATTGGTAATAGCAGCTTTAACACTAACAGCAGAAAAGAGTGACCTCATGATGAAAAAGCAAAAATCCAGGATAAAGCAGAAGCAATCATACTAAAAAACACACACTCGGATCAAGGAATCCGTATAGGAGTTACATTGTCAACCCCACTACGAGAGGGCTTAGTTAACTTACTAAAAGTTGTAACATCCCAAAAATCAAGGCAAATTTTTCATTTTAAAACCATTCCAAAAATCCACAAGTTTTACAAAACAAGTTCTCAAAAGTCACTCTAATGAATCAAAGTATCCCAAAATCATAAAACACATAAAATCCAGGATGATGTGAACGATCAAGCATTTGACTCACCCCTGATCTCTGAAGTACCTCAAACCATAACAATCAAACTATAAACCAAAGCTTAGTGAGTTCCCCCAAAGTACCATACACAACCTAATAGATAGCAAATTTATACATGAGCGTTTAGCCTAATTAGACCTCCTCGCAGGGTCTACAACCTATATAGACTACTCTTTGAGCATTCGTCCTGACCGGACCGCCTCGTAGGGCCTACAACCTATCCGAACCACTCTCCGGGCCTTCGGCCTGACTAGACCGCCTCACAAGGACTATAGTCTATACAGACCGCCTCGGGTATCTTGGCCTTCAGCACAAAGTAGGATCACCTCAACCCAACAAACCATAACATGTCAATATATAGAATAACAATCAAACCTGCAAGTAGAAGTGATTGTACATATCTATCAGTCTATCACATATCTAATAAACACAAGTAATCATACAACTTTATCAGTCTATCACATATCCAATGAACACAAGTTCTCATACAAATATACAAGTCTATCATATAACAAGAATAACATCATCTAATATACCAGGATACATAATCTAGTGGGCCAAAATTGGTGCCTTCGACCCACAAGTACAATGAGAATAACTCACTTCACATTCTGAAAGATAGGTAAACAAATCACTACTTCACATGCTGCCTCAACATGTCACATATACAACTAATACGGTTCTAAATCTCAAACTACTATTCAAATTACACAAAATGTCCTTAGGTTAAACTTGGTTAAAACCCTGGTTAAAGGTAAAATTCATCAATTCAAAGAAGGCAAGGTCCACATTAGGATGAGTATGCCCTGCGTACTCCACCTCTACGCATGGTGTATGCAACTCCAGCTTTGTACGTGCCGCGTACCACCTAGGTAGGCCTAAATTACTCAATCTAGGGTTAAACTCCCATTAAGCACTTATTCTATAAATATCTTTCTTCTAAAGCTCAATTTTGAATCCAAATGACATCCTAAATCATACAGTTTCCAACTTTATGACTTGTCATGGCTAGAAAGTGCACAAATCCAAAATCCTAACTTATTGCATAACTCCAAGCTTCATATCTCTTGCATGGGTAAAAGGAAAGAATCAAGATGGCATTTTTATGACTTAAAGCACCCAAAAACATCTAAAAGAACAACTCATTTGTTCTAGAGTAAGCCAAAATCATATATACCAATATTATGGGACCAAAAGGCACAAAAATCAAGAACTAGCAAGATCTACTAATGTATTTATCAAGTTCAAAACTTTATACCTTCTGAAGGTTTCTTCAGAGGTGTAAATCCTAGATCTAAAATGCTTGAAGCTTTCCAAGAGCACTCGAATGATCTTCTTCCATCAAGTATGGACAAAAAACACTCAAATAGCTAAAAAAAACTCTTAATTGGAGATTAGTGTTAGTAAAGGGTTGGGAGGATGAAGGCTGAGAATGGAAAGGGTTTATGGAGGTTATGATGCTTAAATAGGGCTCAAAACCCTGAATTTAGGGTTTGCTCATTGGTTGAGTACAACCAAAGTACTCTTAGTTACGCCTAACATATTCTTATTTACGCCTAACGTAAATCATTAAGAGCTTGTTAAGCCCTGTGTAACTCTTAGTTACACCCAACGTAACCCGAGAATCCATAACTTCCCCCTTCAACTTCAAACAACCATAACTTCTTCGTTTCAACTCCATTTTCGACATTCTTTATATGCATGTAAAGGTATTGAAGTGTCTCGCAATCGTATTTAATTATTTTTTACTTTGAAGATACCGAACTGAAATTCTTAACTGATGAAAGAAGTCTGAAGCCTCTCTTTTCCCATTTAACCCTTCGACCCCAAAACAATCCAAGAGCTTGGATCACACAACCAATATTATTCATATCCAATTGGGTCTAAACCCTATTTGTAACGCCCGCGTTCCCAGGCTAGGCATTATCATTAATGTAATAGTCTAGTTTAACCCTTGTAACTCTTTTTGAAGTATTAATGATAAAATATTTGAGTATTATGTGAATTATGTGTTTATTTTCTTAATTATTATAATTTAATGAATTAAGAATAAAATAAGCGTCAAATTTGAAGTGTGGTATAATCCCAATATCTTTGCATAAAGATGTAGTGGTCGAAACAAGGATTCCGAAGATATAAAGAATACCGAAATCCGATTTATAACGAAGAAGTTATGACCTGTCAAGTTTCGCGACAGAACCGACAACGCTGAATGATGTAAAAAGTGAAATTTACGTTAGGGCGATATTTAGCCTTAGTGATCTAAACGAAATTCATAGAGTTCGTTAAACTGAGAGCGTGCATAAAAAGAACGCCCAAATCTGACTTCGTATGACGAAGTTATGATTTTTCGAAGTTTCGACTTAGTAGAATGCAACCTAAATACTCGATTTGAGATCGAGCGGTTTTTAGCTGAAACAATCTAAACGAGAATCGAAGATCTTGTTAATTGTAGTGAAACGATGAAAGGGTAGGCTAAAACGGACGTCGGATGAAGAAGTTATGATTTTATAACGGAGTTTTCCTGTCTTGGCCTACTAAAAATAAATAATAAAAATAAAGTCAAAATTAGACAACAGAGTCTAAACGAAAGTTGTAGATCATAGTCTCACCTCCGCGTGGATATAAAGAACGTCGAAAACGGAGTTCGTATGAGGAAGATATGAATTTTTAAAATTTATTAAATATTTTCGATATTTAATTTAAATATATATTATCCAGG